AAAATTCATAAAAATCAGATTTCCATGGTTTTTTAACTTGTATTCTGGACAGTACAGTTAAAGGAACTGCTGCTAGACCTTTATAAACAAACATGCCATTTTCTGGAAACCTATTATCTAGCTCATTAATAAGATGTTCAATTAATGGAGATGTAATGCTGTGTTTAAAATAATCAAAAACTGTATTTGTTGAATAATTATCCCAGCAAACCTGGACATTACACAATCTAGGTCTCACTTCTTGTATATCAAGAGTTTTGGCCAAACTAAGTGTGATATATATCAATTTTATTTTTAATTTCTAATAACAGATTTTTTAGATTAGTTATTTCAAAACACTGCTGGGATATGTCAAAATATTTAGTTTGAAAAGTTACAGTAATTGCATTAAAAAAATCCATTAATTGTTTTGTAATAACTAAACTTACAATAAAAGAGAAATCTGTTAATAATCTTAAAAAAAAAGAGGATTTGGAAGCAGTTTCACTGCTATATTCCTTTGACTCATTTAACCCCATCTCCTCTAAAGCACGAATAATAGGTATAAAATTATCAAAAAAAAACATCAAGACCTCTCAGCTTTTGAACCCATCTTGTTCGACAAGTATCTATTATTTTTTCTTGATTTGGACTTAAATATTTTTTGAGACAGTTACTACGTTTAGGAGATAAGTTAAAAAAAAGTATTTCTTTTACTTGGCCAAGAAGATTTTTTACTTTTTGAACTTGGCATGCAGCTGCTACTACTAAACTAAGTCTATGGCTTGCACAATTAATAAATATAGCTTTATGATTAAGAGCTTTTATTTGAGAAGCAACTCCTTCATATTTACCTGCCATACAACCCGCACCGCCATACCCTTGGCCTCTACAATTTTGAATATCAAGTCTAAACTCTTGAAGTGTATTAAGTACATTTAGAGACTAAGACCAGATGTACCAGTCTTGCAATCAATAAATCTTAAAAAATACTCGCAAATCTCATTATTTGAATTTACATATCTTAAAATAAGTGACATTTGTTTAGTATTTGAACAGTCAACTGCTTTATCACAAAGAATTGAAAAAAAAATTGAATGCTTGACATTTTTTATTAAAACTTTCTCAATTGCTTTCCCACAAGAATCAATAAGTTGGTTTTGGGAAGTTTTTGATATATAGGTTGCATTTTTTGGACTTGAAGAAAGATGATTAGCTAATATTTGATCACCAGCATCAACACAAACATTTAAAAGCTCTATGAAGTTACTAATTCAAACTTTTTGTGTAGAAGATTCCCCAATATCAGGATGATATTTGCTAGCATCACGAAATGCTAGATCGTTTCTACCAAGAAATATTATTGTTTTAATTATTGGAACTAATTTTTTTCTGTTATCAGAAAGAAGTTTCAAACGAGAATTATTTAAATCAACCTCAATAACATTATTTTTGGAGTTGCAACGTGAAAGCAATGCATTAAATAAAAGCATAGGTTTTTCATGTAAAACACAACTTTCCTCATGTTTTCTATAATCACGAACAGCATTACCCCACTCTTGATGGGGCTTGAAAACTAAATTTAATATTCCAGACTTATTTGGAATACTAGCACCTAGCAAAGTACAAGGAAGACAGTAAGCTCCATCTTCTTTGCTAGAATAAGCTAACCAAGAAGTTCTTATTATTACTAAAAATTAGTTTAGGTTTTTTAATAATTGGTACAAAATGGTTCGGTGTCCAGTTATCATTTTTTTGCATCACTGACATAATATCAGTATTACACCATAAAATATTTAAAACATTTTGATCTTGATTTTTAATTGAACGAAATGGAAAAATAATTGTATTAAAAAGTTTTTTGAATTTTTCTAAGCCAAAATCAGTATATATTGATCTAATAGGAATATATAAAACTGATGACAAAGCAATTAGACATAAAAATGAAGAAAACTTGTTAGCTCGGCAGTTGATCAATGCTTCCATTATTATAATTTCAGAAGTAGATTCACTGTTAATTAATTTAAATTGATCTGAACATTCAAAAGAAACACAGGCTACTAGAACACCGGAAAGATTAAAAAAATTATTGTTTTTAACCTATTTAACAAAAAGGGAGTACCTCGCATAGTAGCAAACTTTTTCAAACAATTCAATCGAAGTTAGAAGCCTCAATACATTTACTGTCTTCAGAGACGAATTGCTTAAAAGTGAAGCTGAACTGTAGAGGCATGCCTCTACAGTAGCCAGAGGCATGCCTCTACTTTTTATTTTATTTAAGGTCATCTGAAGATGGAAATCGCCGGCAATTTCCATCTTCAGATGACCTTAAATAAAATAAAAAGTATACTAAAACAAGCTCAGTTTATATTAAATACTAGCTGGAAATATAAAATACCATTAACTTTAATAATAGGGTTTTACCTTAAAGCAACATAATCTTTAGTATCTTCTTGCTTTGGGATAAAACGATCCATTTCAGTATTTTCAGAAGATTGACTATGTGGCTGAACTGGACTCTTATTATTTAAAACTTTCAATTCTTCAGTCAACTGGTTTTTATATTTGCGAATATTTGGCAAATGTCTAGCCTTAATTGCATTTGAGACTAAAAAATTCATTTTTTTTTTAAACTTTAGTTTACAAGCAAAGTCCAACGACGAAAATTACGAGCGAAGAACGTATATCAGGCGGCATATCAGAATTTTGTAAAATTTGAACAATTTGGAGCAACTGATGCAATTGTTCTAAACTTTCTACAAATTTGATTGGTTATAAATAATATTTCTTATCTTTTTTGTAAAGTTTTTTGCAGAAGTTTTGTAGCAATTGACGCAATTGTTATTTTATTAAATAGTGATTGGTTTAAACTGTTTTTTAACCAATCATTAATGATTTAGAGTACAATTGCATCAGTTGCTACAAAGTGATCAGAAAAATTTGTGAAAAAATACAAATATGATTGGTTAAAACGTACTTTTTTTTTTTTAAAACCAATCACATTTGAGTTTAGTGAAGAACAATTGCATCAGTTGCTCCAAAACGCAGGAATTTTGTCTAAGTAACGAATAAGTAACTATAGAGATCGAATAAGTAACTATAGAGATCAAATAAAATTGACTTTAAATGAATTTTTTTCGAGTTTAAAACAAGTTTTTCATTTTTTGTGAATACCAGATTCCAATTTCTCCTTTTACTTTTTATTAAGAAAAAAAAATGAAAAAGAGATTTAAATTTAGTGGTGAAAAATGCATGCGCATCATTCGCGACACCCTGGATCCGCCCCTGTATATATAATATATAAATACATATATATATATATATATATATACATATATATAATATATATGTATATATATATATATATATATATATATATATATATATATATATATATATATATTTATATATATATATATATATATATATATATATATATATATATATATATATATATATATATAGTTTTTTAGGAGAAACTTATTTTCGTGCCTGCATTTAGAAATCAGTTACGATTTTTTGTTTAACAAACATTCTTGGTTTGCATGTGTAATTATTTCATATTTTTCTTGTAGACATAGCATTTATTTTTTGGAAATATTGTTGTATGCAGGAGCTGTTTTAAGGATGGACCAATTCAGTATAAAATCATCAATATTTTTATCTTTTAGTTCCCATATATATTTTGACAGCATGGTGTCTTTTGAATACTTTTTATTTTTAAAAGATTGCTTATGATTTGCAAAACTTTTTTCCATTCACCCTCTGTTATGCCAATATATTGTTTATAGGGTACATTCTTAGAGAAAACAACACATATATATACCACATTTTTTGATAAACAACTTCCACTAATTGGACATTGTATTTTTGTTTACAATTACAATTTTTAGTTGTAATTGTAAACAAAAAAATAATTATCACTATTTGACCAAAAAAACAATTTAATTTTTATGGTGTAAATTGAAGTTTTATAAATTTGATCATTCATTTCTGATGAGTCTTTGTTAATAAAACACAGTGTAGAATGAAAATAATTTTTGTTAAGTGATTTTCAACTAATTTATATATATATATATATATATATATATATATATATATATATATATATATATATATATATATATATATATATATATATATATATATATATATATATATATGTATATATATATATATATATATATATATATATATGTGTATATATATATATATATATATATATATATATATATATATATATATCCATATCCTTATAGTGTAGTCGAAAGAGACTTTCATGGTTAAAAAAGTCTCTTTTTACCTCTTTTTACAATTTTTTTACCTTGTCTCTTAAGCTGCATTTTATTGTCGTGGAAATGTCAAAGCAATTAAGTTAATGCGGAAATACATTAAATTTTATTGTTTTTTAAAAAAACCGCAATAGTAATGACAAAAAAGTTTTTTTAAATTAGTGGTGTTTTTGTTTTTGTTTTATTAAAAAACATTTTTAAAACATGTGTAAGTGTTGCTACATCGACTATCTTATAGCCTGACTTGCAACGGAGTGCTGCTACATCGACTGACAAACAGCCTGACTCGCAAGAGAGTGTTGCTACATCGACTGACAAATAGCCTGACTTGCAAGGGAGTGCTGCTACATCGACTGAAGGTTTGGTTTGGGCAGGCAGTCTATTATTTAAAAAAAAAAATTTTTTTGAGGTTTTTTTTCTGGTCAGGCTTATCAACGCGCTCTTTAAAACAACAGTTTATGGGAAAAACTTTGTAACTACCATGCAAGACTATATATATATATATATATATATATATATATATATATATATATATATATATATATATATATATATATATATATATATATATATATATATATATATATATATATATATATATATATATATATATATATATATATATATATATGTATGTATATGTGTATATATATATATATATATATATATATATATATATATATATATATATATATATATTATAAAAAAATAGTCAAAATTTTTTGGCAGGCTGCTTCATTTGAAGGTCGACTGTGGTTGTTGAAGCAGTATGAATTTGATGACACTATTCAACTTTTATGTGAAATGCTTCAGTCATCAAGTATTTCTTTGACGCATAACGCATCTCTTGCCATAGCAAGGTACATTTAAACTTTTTTTTTTTTGTTATAACAAAAGTAGTGTGGAATTGAGTTAAAAATGTTTTTAGAAAAAGCAATAGTTAAACAATAGTGCCCATTTCTATTGGTAAAAATCAAAGTTAAAGAAAGCAACCCTGATTGATATTAATTTGTGGGAGATTATTTCTTAAGTTGTACAATATTTATCAGATTTCATTGTATGTTAACTTGATACAAGGTGGTTAAATTTGTTTATGCATGTTTAACTTGATACATGGTGGTTAAATTTTTATACAGTCCTATAAACCTTAAGAAAGAGGCAAACCTTACAATTTTATATATGTCATATATATTTTTACTTAATAATTCTTTATTGTTATTTCTATATTATAACTTTATTTTTTATATACATTTTATTTGTTATATTAACTTATTTTTTATTTATATTTAAAAAAAATAAAATCTCAAAAAAAGTCTTAAGTATCATTAAAAAGAAAAAATATAGTACATTGAAATCAGGAAATATTAAAAAAAGTCATTATTTTGTTACAATTGAATATTAAAATTTTAAATTCATATTTATTAAATAAATTAAATTTAGAGATTTATATTTCAATGCATTATATTTCAATGCATTTAAAAATAAAGATGCGTTAGTATACCTCCAAGCCACGATGTGATTAATGTAAACTTTGCAAATCAAACAACAGTAGGGGAAGATGGAGAACATTCGACCAATTAGCTGGTTTTTATTAATTTACAAATGGTTTTTTACCAAAAACATTTAATTTTTTTTAGCATTACAAGTAATGGTCTCAAACCAACAAAGTAAAAAGATAATGTTTATAAAATATTGATTTTTGTCAAATCTACCACTTTGCACTGTTTTACAACAAGATTTGTGAAGTTATATTGAAATAAAAATAACGTTGCCGTTCTTTCCGTCTTTTATGGAATTAAAGACTTTAAAAGCGTTTTTTTTCAGTTTAATGACTTTTCTTTTTTTTTACTTTTTTTCAAATGAAGTTTTTCAATCTTTTCCTTTTCAGGAATGTTAGCATATATCGTTGACTTGATTTCCTCTTTATTTATTTTTTCTTTGAGAAGCTTTAGGCAAGGGCTGCACTGGAATTAGTTTTTAATTGTTAGAGTTATTCTAGTAGTTGCAAGGGGAATGTGTTTCATTGGTAAATAAGAATTGCAAATTATTTTGTAATGGTATACTTATTACCCCTAGACTTTCACTTGGTTCTCCCATTAGGGTTCTGTTTGTGACATGCCTGGGCATGAAATCTTTTTTCAGCTTGTGGTTTAGACAGTGAACTATTGAAAATACTAGTAATTTTTTCAAATACCACATTTTCATTTCTTTTATTTCTATATGTTTTCGTTACATATTTTCGAGGCATCTAAAAGATGAGAGAAAAAAATATAGTGGTATTTTCAACCACCGGTCGAATGTTCCCCTGCTAGGTAGGTCGAATGTACCCCACACGTGTTATATATAAAAAAAACGCTGTTAAAAGCTGAAATCAATTTTTTAAAGTAAACCAGACACAAAGGTTTTTAACTCAAGGTAACATTAAACAATAAACAACAAAAAAGTTTAGGAGGTTAAAATTGGAAAATTGATTCTCTGTGGATTATTTAAAACATAAAAAAATTACCTTTTGCATCAACAATTAGATTTTTTTCTATATAAATACTAATGATAAAATAAAAAAAAAAATGAATAAAGATGGATCGATACTTATTTCCCGGAATAGCTTATTAACAGACAAAACATGGATAGAAATTTTAAGTGGTAATTTTTATCATGTTGGAAATATTTAAAAATGGCTAATGTTCCCCATGGATGAATGTTCCCCGTCTTCCCCTACCTATCATGACTGAGATCTCAGTAAGGAATAGTGTAATTTTAATTAGTCTCACAAAAAGCAAATAAGTGAATTTTGCAAGAGATTGGAAGGTTACTATGAAGACCAAAAATATTTGTGAAAGGTTGAAACAGTTAGGTGGTGAGAATGGTTTTTCATGTTAAATATTTTGTGTTACTTTTTAGGCATTTAAGTTTAAAGAGAACTTAATTTATTCATAGGCCCCAAGCAATGAACTATGCAGTTATCTTAGTCCTGCAATTTACGCAAAGTTGTAACTTAGGGCTCCTTATGCGGCTTCGACATTGGGCATCAAAAGCATTAACAGGGACACCAGCCAACTTGGCACTGTAAATAGTCCAATATTTTACAGCTGTTGATGGAATCAGTAGTTGGATACAGTTAACAACTAGCCTTTACTCAACCAAGAGCCCCAAGAAAGGGGAATTTTAGCTGGATGCAGTCAACATCTGCCCTAGATGAGTATTTTTATTGAGACACTATCTCTAGCCTTTACCAAACCAAGAACCCCAAGGCAGGTGATTTTTTAACTTAGAGTTTGTTTCTTCTAGCCTTTGCCTAAATAAATCAAACCCTTTAAGGCAGCAGGGCATGGGACAGGTAGTAATGGGTTACATAACACATAATAGCAGTAATAGGGTTATTGTGATGATCCTGAACTTGACCTAATCTGGAGTAGTTAAAAGAAGTTACTTCCTGTAAGCAGTGCTTTAAACATTGATGGGAATATTTTAGGAATGCATTAGGAAAAATATTTAGCAGAATACTAGAGATTAGAGTTTAGAGAATTGGAGTCACTAGTTAGTTACTGAGTTCACATTGTTTCAAAGATTTAAACAGAACAGAAGCAAAGTTCTAGAGTATTCTGTTGAAATATTTTAGAAATTGCATTATTCACGATTAGTTACGTTTTGAGATTTCTAGCATAAATTGTTGTAATAATATATATTATTTGTTTACAAAAATAAATGTTTTAAATATATATTAATTAAATTATCAAAATTTTAAAAGTTTCTTATTAATTATAGATTTTATTAGTATATTCTTATTTCTTATTTAAAAAGTATGTATTCTTTATGTAAATGTAATTTTGTGTATTTGTTTTTTATCGTAATGTATCTTTTAAAGCGATTTTTATAATTTAAACAAAGATTTACAAAAATAATTGCGTTTTCAATGAAGTTATAATCGTTAAAGTTAATAAAACTAATTATGTAACAAACATATAAGAAGTTTCTGGTTACCAAACACAAACAACGCATACAAAGTAACTCGCGGATAAACAAGCAACACGCCTGAGTTCACGACAGAACACATATATATATAGCAAATAATTAGATATAAAGAAAAGTTTCTAGATATTGGTTTACTAACTATTTTACTAATTATTTACTTTACTGGTTTACTAATTATTTTCGCTTAAGTTGCCATTCTTAAAACTCGTTATACTTTTTTCTGCTTTAAATCAGGCTTGGTCGGGAAGCCGGTGCAATCGCACTTGATAACTGACCACGCAAATAGTATTTAGTTGCAAAAAACTGGCCAGATTTTTTAGTCGTTTTGAGAACATTTAAGTTTTTGTATGATTCCTTGTTTGTCCACAAAATAATGACTTCATTTTATCGTAAATTTTAAAATATTTTGTTTTACGAACATTCAAGTTTATGTATGGAAACATACATAAACTTGAATGTTCTCAAACATCTTAGTACAAAAAAATAAAAAATGAATATTCGTGAACACAAAAAACCCCCCAATTCTATGAACAACTAATTCTATTGGTTCAAAAAATACTAAGTTATTTTAAGAATAATATTTTAATATACTATCAAACAAACTATTTTTTGATAGTATATTAAACATCTACAAAGCTATAAATGTTTTAAACTAACATTATTTGTTTACAATAATAAATAATTAAATTTGCATTTTTTAACTTGTCAACGTTTTGTAAATATATTATAGATTTTATTAGTATATTTTAATTTTTTATATATAAGGAATGTATTTTTTATGTATGTAATGTATTTTTATGTATGTAAAGTATTTTTATGTATGTAATGTATTTTTATGTATGTATTTTTTATGTATGTAATTTTATGTATGTAATATATTTTTAATGATATTAATAATAATCGTCAAAGTTAATACAAATAATTTTAACCACTAATTCATTTTCCTCAGTGTACCCAATAACTGATTCTTTCTCCCAAAAAAAAAAGTTTTTAGGTTCTTAGAAATTGATTTACTAACTTCTATTATTTTTGCTTCAGCCATTCTTACAAACTCTTTATACTTAAAGTTACTTTTTTCTGTTTTAAATACTAATTAAAATTATAAAGCCCTCCTACTTAAACATCATCAGCAGTATTGTGAAGCAGTTCTGCTTCCTCCTCACAAAGTAATTTAACGTTTTTTTTTAATTTCTATAAAGCTAATTGAATTTCTACAGTAACTCAATGATTTAATTATTTTATTTGTTCATCTTACTAAGAAGAATTATTTCAAATATGTTAAGTTTTTTAAACTACGCGAAGCATAAAACAGTTATTCAAAAAACTTTTTTTATGAATAAATCATCTGGTTGAATCTTGTTGGACTTTTCAGGGCCGGAGGTTGCATTATTTTGGCGGCCTTTTTTATGTGCCACAGCGTAAAAATGACTAAAAAAAATACCGAATGGTCCTCTCAACTATTTTCCCTAACATTGTGAGTCTCGGGCTATAGCCCTACTACCCCCACCCCACCTCCTCAATCCAGCACTGGAAATAAGACATAAGTTTATAAATAAAAATTATATATATTCTTTGAAAAATCAAAAACATTTGTTTCTTTATAGTTATTACTTTATATAATAAATGTTGCTTAATTTTATAAAAAAAATTATAAAAGAACGATGTTTCAAAAATAATTTCCAATACATTTATTTTGCTTAAAGTTCTCTTTTTTTAACTGTCTCTCATCGGTCCAGTTAATCTTATTGCGCTTTTTTATTTGTTTTTGAAATGTTCTCAAAACGACTAAAAAATCTGGCCGGTTTTTTGCAGCTAAATGATATTTCTGTGGTCAATTATCGAGTGCGATCGCACCCGCTTCCCGACCAAGCCTGCTTTAAATACTAAT